AATTTTCGCGTGAGAAAAGCAAAAAAGTCGCTTTCTGTGCAAGTGAGCCAACCCATTATCGCAATGGTATGCTTTAGGAATAAACTCAGAAGGGGCAAGAACTTCCAGAAAAAACTGCAAAACTGCTCATGCATTCATCCTCCGCTGCCTAAAGTTCAACAAGAGTAATACTTTACGCGGTTTTAAACGCACTGTCATCACAATGAACCCGTATCTTATGCGACAGCGTTCAAAGGTTAGATAAAATAGAAGAACTTTAGAGATAGCTTAGGAATGGTGTTCCCGACTACTAAATATCCAATTTTCGCAAGAAGAGCAGATCCCCAAGATGCGTTAACTGTTTCGCTCCCGCTTTTACACCAATCCAGAGCTTCCCTTCCCTGCGAAAACTTGAACTTGAGAAGACATGACCTGTTGCACCACATGCCACCCCCCCCCCCTTACTGGATGAGACTCTAGTACAGTTTGAACAAATGGTGATCTCAAATTTTATGGTAAAGTAGCTCTGCAGAATTACTCACGCAATCACAAACCACGCTAAAAATGTACTAAAAATTAAAGCAAAATTCAAACGGAATACCTTGAACATGCTGGTCAGGAAATAAATCAAAAGCATCCTTGAAGCCACGCTCTTGATGGCGGCCCATGCTCCTCCTTCCGCCTAAGTCATGGAAATTTCAGTGGACAAATTTTAAAAGCTTGGTAAAGAAATTATAAGATACCTGGTTTTCTGCTACCTCGGGAGCCGCCGCTGGTACAACATCGGTCATATCCTGTAAGAACTCCAATAAGCATTAACTGACTTCACAGCATTTAATCGAGCTTTGAAACACCCGAGAAATAAGTATTCGTTTTCTTGTCATCGCGAAATTGTATAAACAGAATCTAGAGTAGCTGAAATGCGCTGCAGCTCTGCCCCTTCGAAGTGTCATGCAAATTCGAAGCGAATATTGAAAAAACAAGAGATTCTTTGAACATCGGATAAGGATAGCGCATTTTTGGGCATAAACCAAGACCAGGGTTGTCCTGCTACAAGTTCGAAGAGAACATTAGAATACGGCTAATGTTTGGAAAATTCTACGAGGTCGAAGTAAAATGTGCCGGCGTTGCACACTTTGCGCCCTACCCCACGCGCGACACCTCTCGATATGCGCAAAACGTATTTGGCAGTCCGATTCTGTAATGGAGCGCGGGAGGTGATGTCCTTTAAACTGCAGTAGATGGAAAATCACTTCCTTGATTTGAGCAGTTCATCTACAATTGCATGTGAACAGATTGTCTAATGAATTGGTTCCGAACAAAATCGTTCACTTCACTTCTGCCTGGGTTATGCCTTCAGACCCTGGATCATTTACGAGAGAGGAGAAAAGAGGAGTTGAGAGAGTGGGCAGCGGCTGACTATCGCTGTCCTTTGGTCTTTGACCTTTGCTCAAATACTAGTATTAGGCGCAACGCTCGTCGGTGGGCACGCCGATTTTCTGATACGGTAGGCGCAAAATGTATGTATGCGAGGGCCAAGGATAAATTGGACCAATTCCTTCAGGAAAAGAGCACTTTGGCGCCCTTCAGTGTGATGTAAGGAATTCGGGAGCC